CCAGACAGAATGTTACTCTGCTAAAGCAATAATATCCCCATCATCCTGTTATATTGCTATTTGAACACCCAGACAGAATGTTGCTCTGCCAAAGCAATAATATCCCCATCATCCTGTTATATTGCTATTTGAACACCCAGACAGAATGTTGCTCTGCCAAAGCAATAATATCCCCATCATCATCCTGTTATATTGCTATTTGAACACCCAGACAGAATGTTACTCTGCTAAAGCAATAATATCCCCATCATCCTGTTATATTGCTATTTGAACACCCAGACAGAATGTTACTCTGCTAAAGCAATAATATCCCATCATCTGGTTATATTGCTATGTTTACACCCAGACAGAATGTTGCTCTGCCAATAATATCCCCATCATCCTGTTATATTGCTTCATCCAAAGCTCTAGACCAAGACAATAATATCAACCACATCCTGTTATATTGCTATTTTGAATCACCCAGACAGAATGTTGCTCTGCCAAAATAATATCCCCATCATCCTGTTATATTGCTATTTGAACACCCAGACAGAATGTTGCTCTACCAAAGCAATAATATCCCCATCATCCTGTTATATTGCTATTTGAACACCCAGACAGAATGTTGCTCTACCAAAGCAATAATATCCCCATCATCCTGTTATATTGCTATTTGAACACCCAGACAGAATGTTGCTCTACCAAAGCAATAATATCCCCATCATCCTGTTATATTGCTATTTGAACACCCAGACAGAATGTTACTCTACCAAAGCAATAATTTCCCCATCATCCTGTTATATTGCTATTTGAACACCCAGACAGATTGGCTGGTTCTGCACCGCCTGGTCTTTTGATAGACCAATCGGCACAAGATGGGTGATGTGGTTGTTGTTGTGGTTATCGATCCAGCGGCGCGTGAGCTTTCGCCCTTTGGCCCAATGCCATGTAGTGGAATTTGCATGTTTTCACAAGCTGTTCTTTTCCTCCGTACAAGGTGTTCCACTTGTCTGGTCTCGGAGGGAGTAACGTTCTTCTTGTCTCACTGAGTTTTGGGCACTCAAAGAGATGATGGTCAACAGTTTCGTAGGGGTAGTTACATAGCTGGCACTCTGGGGAGTGTTGTGGCTGTATTCTGTTTAGGTGTCCATTGAGTGGAGTATGTTGCGTTCTAAGTCTGAAGATGGTGGCCTGGTCCCTTCTTGTTAGATGGTTAATGCTGTCATTAGGATCACCCAGACATATGTCTATAAACCTCTCTTCCATGTCTCCCATGGCCCATCTGTTCAACCAGTCTCTTTGTTTATAGCTCTTATCAGTGTTTTTGCTGTCTGGAGGGTTGTCGCTGTAGGTGGTTGTTCTTGTGTTGCTCCTTTCTTTGCCAATCTGTCAGCTCTGCATTACCTGGTGTGCCGGAGTGACCTGGAATCCACTGCATGGTCACTCCGGCACTCCAGGTAATGACAGAGCTGACAGATTGGCAAAGAAAGGAGCAACACAAGAACAACCACGGGTGATGTGGTCAGCATCATGCCGGCCATCTTTACTTCCCGAGATTGCACCCGGTACCCACTCAAGGCTGGGTCGACCTGCCAGCCAAGAGATGTACAAAAGGAGTAATCAATAACCATGAATAGAGTGAAGCTTTAATTGAAATTCATTCTGCAGGGCTTAAGAAATATATGCACTGGGTGACCTACGGCATAACCTCAATTACTGGGGCTTACAGGAAAATTTGACATCAACTTGGCTTGTAAAAAAAAAAAAAAATTTGTTTGAAGGTAATCACCCCCCTTTCCCTTCTTTCCCCTCCCAATGCATATTTTTAGCTAATATCCTGACCTCATAAACATATGATTTTCAACATTTCAGGGAACACCGCCAGAAAACGCGAGGGTTTTACAGAGATAAGATTATTTGTACTACTTACCGGAACTCCAAAGTAATATAGAGAACTGCCACCGCAAGACTGACCAACAAGGCAAAATGCACAAAGGAAGTGTAGCTCATGTACAGAGGACGGCCAGGGAATTTGCAGAAACCATAGCCAAACAGTTTTACTGAGGACATCAGCTGCATCATACATATAGATACATAAAATTAAAGCCTTTCTTTCTCAGAAAGGTACTGTACCTAAATGGCTGTTTTTCATGTTAACCTACAAGTATGTGCTTCGTGACATTCACAAATATTAACTGAGGGGGAACCCTTGAAGCATTGGAAATATTATGTATATAATAAACAGACAATGTATTGATTGGCACTCATAGAAAGAAGTAGAAAGATAGAAGGACACACGAGACAACATTAAAAATTGTAAGCTATATTCACCATGCCGGGAATTGAATCTGTCACCTCAAAATGGCCTGTGCACCTCGCTATAGAAACCTATAGAAACACGTGTACTAAGAACATAACTAGGGGTGCCTATCTGGTCATGTTCTTAGTACAAGCTTCCACAGCAAGGCGCACATGCCACATGAGGGTAAAGGTTCAATTCCCAGCATGGTAACTATAGCTTTTGATTTTTAATGTTGTCTAGTGTGTCCTTCTATGTTTCTACTTCTATGAGCACCGATCAATACATTGTCTGTTTATTTACATACATTTATATATATATAATATATATATATATATATATATATATATATATATATATATATATATATATATATATATATATATATATATATATATATATATAGTATGTGCTTGTAGTTCTTAGGTTTAGTCAGAACCCACTTAAGAAATCTGACAATACACTGGCATCAGTCAAGAGCTACAATTATATTACTTATATCAATCAAACACCATAATCATGCTACTCACTTCAATCAAGAATTACAATCTGGCTACTCACATCAATCATCAAATTTTACTTTGACATCCCCCTTGAGGGGATGCAATTTTTCGTTATTTTGAATCACCACCCTGGCTGTTGCCCGGGGCCCCTATTTGGCCTTATGGTTGAAGGCGGTGTCCGGGACCTCTCCACGGGTACTCCTCATCCGCATGGTGGCACTTTGTGTCACCGGGTGTTTATTGCTCTGTGTGATGTCCTGGTGCGGTAAAATTTACTTACTTACTTACTCACGTCAGTCAAGAACTATAATCTGACTACTTGCATCCATCAAGAATTAAAATAGTGTTATTTCATCAGCCAAGAGAAAAATAACTGCATACTTACATCAGCCCAAATATAACTAGTCATCACCTTGTCGGATGCAATTTTTCTCACTTTGAAGCCCCACACTGGCTCTTGCCAGGGGCTGCAATATAGCCCGGCCAAAATTTGGTATAATGGCTGAACGTGGTTTCCGGGACCTCTCCACGGGTGATCCTTATCCACTTGGTGGCACTTTGTGTCATCGGTTGTTTATCGCTTGTGTGATTTCCTGGTGGGGCAAAATGTACTACTACTTCTACATCGGCCTAGAACCAAACACAAATTTATAAACTGTCATCAGCATAGAACAAACAATAAAACCTTCAAAAGCCTATTACCTACCACAACACTGACATCAGCATAGCACACACACAGAACAAGGGGTTTCCATACAACAATAAAACCTTCCACAAGACTATCTCCACACCTACAGCAGTCCTGAACAAACACCCTCCACACATCACTGGCATGCACACACTCCACACTTACAGCAGTCCGCACACTTACAGCAGTCCTGAACAAACACCTCCACACTTACAGCAGTCCTTAACAAACACCTCCACACTTACAGCAGTCCTGAACAAACACCTCCACACTTACAGCAGTCCTGAACAAACACCTCCACACTTACAGCAGTCCTGAACAAACACCTCCACACTTACAGCAGTCCTGAACAAACATCTCCACACTTACATCAGTCATGAACAAACGTCTCCACACTTACATCAGTCATGAACAAAAACCTCCACACTGACATCAGTCATCAACAAAACACCTCCACACTTACATCAGTCCTGAACAAACACCTCCACACTTACATCAGTCCTGAACAAACACCTCCACACTTACATCAGTCCTGAACAAACACCTCCACACTTACATCAGTCCTGAACAAACACCTCCACACTTACAGCAGTCCTGAACAAACATCTCCACACTTACAGCAGTCCTGAACAAACATTTCCACACTTACAGCAGTCCTGAACAAATATCTCCACACTTACAGCAGTCCTGAACAAACACCTCCACACTTACAGCAGTCCTGTACAAAAACCTCCACACTGACATCAGTCATCAACAAAACACCTCCACACTTACATCAGTCATGAGAAAGCTGCCAACTAAAGTGATCACCCAAGTCACAAACAGCACCAGTTTTTCAACGTGCCAGTGGAAGGAGTTGCGTGCGTAGGACAACCCTCGCTGCAGGGCCTTGTGTCGATCATGGCACATGATGTGTACTAGAATCAGCTGCTCCACTGGGGCAGCATTGGCAAACACCGCACACAGCTGTGGTGGACAAAAAAGAAGGAGGGGGGGGGGGAGTGTGGAATGATTAGTTACAGTAATGATAAACCAACAGTAAGGCTGAGTTACAGTGATGACAAGCTACAGTAGTGATAAGTTACAGTAATGATAAGCTACAGTGATGATAGGTTGCAGCGATGATAAGTTGCAGCCATGATATTTTACAGTAATGGTAAGTTACAGTAATAAACAGTTATGTAAGTTGTAAGTACAGTAATGGTAAGTTACAGCAGAGGTAAGTTACGTACTGATAAATTACAGCTATGATAAATTATAGCAGTAATTTACAGAAATTATTAGTTATAGTAATGATGAGTTACAGCAATGATAAGTTACAGTAATGAAAATTTCCATTAGAGGTAAATTACAGCAGATTAAAATTACAGTAATGATAAGTTACAGTAGTGGTAAATTGCAGCAGTTGTAAATTACAGTAGAGATACATTACAGTAATGATAAGTTACAGTAATGACAGTTTACAGTAATGATCTCTAAAGCAATTCTTGCTTTACCTAAAAATAATTACAAGAAAACTTGAAAGTACCTGACAAAAAACTGTCCATGTCCCCAACAGTGAAACCTGGGCCAGCTCACCCAGGACAACCAGCATAACAATGACACCTTAAATAAATAACAGAATGATCACAGAACAGACAGAATGTTTTTCATAAGAGTACTTGTCAATAGTGGTGACATCAAGAAAACAATAGATGGCATCAGACTTCTCCCCAAACCATTCTCCACACAGCCTTACTTATTTTATAGGCAAAAAGGGAGCTCAAGAACTTAATCGTAGCTTAAGAGCATAATAATAATGTTTTAAATGGCATGGAAGATCATCTGTATACTGACTGAAAGTACATGAGATAGAATGTTGTAGATAGGCATGACCAAGGAAGCCAAATGACAAGAACTATAAGAAGAATAATGGCAAATAAACTGAAAAAATGTATCTGAAATTATAAAAAAAATTATAAACAAACACTGCTGAAGAGAATTTCTATATAAAGAAAAAGCAGGCCTTACATAATGTCCCCATGCTGTGATACATGAGTTTGGTATTTACTTCAAGCCATCAAATTCCCTGTGGGGGTTCCGAGGCCCTATTATAGAGAAAACAAAAATAGACCCACTGCCTACCCAAAATTATGTTGTAAGAGTCGACTAATTTGGAGCTTTCTTTGAAGTTAGAGTGCATCTGCCTGAGAGGCAAGGAACCAACAGTCTGCAAACAAATGAGTCAGATCTGCCAAACAGGTGCACACACAACATTCAGGTTCTGAAATAGGAATGCAATCCAGAAGTGGATGAACAACAATAACTTTCTGCCAGAGTTTAAAGCCGGTGAAGGCAAAGAAGAAGAAGAAGAAGAAGAAAAACCATAAAATAAATTCAGGTCTTCATAAAATGAATTTTTCCAGTGACAACACAGCACTGATGTGAATCAATTAAATATTGTTTAACTGCCTTTTTTTCTTAATCCTGGCTACCCCTGGAATATCCGACACTGTGTTTAGTCAGGATATCATCACAGAACTCCAGACAGATTCACAGGTGCTCTAATCTCTTCTTCCAAAGCTTGACAAGCATACAACGTCCTCTGATGCTTCTTCTGTGTTGATTAATCAAATGTCCCCTTGGTCAAATGTTCACCTCAAGACCCATCAGCCTAGACATGGAGGGACATGGAGTAATGCCCTTTCCTGTTAAGCCTTCATGGTCAGTGCTACGCATGGCATTGATAACAATGTTCTACCAGCCTTAGCAACTGCTGTATCTGCAAGATAATCTGCACGCTTGCTCCCTTGAACACCCGCATTACTCGACACAAAGATTCAATTAGCTCAGCTGTTTAGTGCTGCAATCTTTTCTTGTCTGATAATCCCTGCCAGGATTTTCTTAAGCAAATTCACTCAGTCACTAAGTATGCACGTATATTTGAACTCTTGAGTACCCAGTCAAGCTAATGCCCTTGTTACAGCCATAGTTTCTATTGTGAAGCTGCTGGTTTGGCACTGTGACCCAAAGAAACACATCTAAGATGCTAATACAAAAGAACAAAGATGTCAGATCCTGGGCATATAGACACTTTACATCCCCCCCCCCCCCAAGAAAATGATGTTGGGGAACTTGGCTGGGGGGAGGGGGGGGGGGAGGAGTGTTAAGTAATCCCCAGCGGTTAATATCTAGAAGAGTGAAGCTTCAACAAATAGTGGCTTATGGTCAAAAGTCAACAATCTGTTTAATATCTAGGAACCCGCTCGTAAATGGGCAAGCTGACACAGCATCCAGTTGGCCAGTGGCTTTGATGATACAAGCCTGGACATGACAGCTCGTAATTGGCAAGCTGACACACATCCAGTTGCCAGTGGCTTTTTGATGATAAATGACATGACAGCGACACCATTATCAATTTGCATTTATTTTACACTGTGTCATTCTCTTCACTGCATCTGCATCTTTCTCAGCATATTCTCCAGCCCTATGTGCTTTTATAGCTAATACCTCTTCAATGTCTAGTATCCACAGTGAAAGAAGTCTGTCTGAGCCTCATGTTGTAGAAACTGTAACATCCATCGCCGTTCTCTCCAGGCCACGAATACCTTTAACATGGCCAAAATACCACAGCTTTCAGGACATTATGCTGTTTATAAGCCAATTCTCCGCGAAGCGACATCAGATGAATGAACAACAACAAACATGTGCCTTACTTTCAAAAAACTTACTTAAAATAATATCCGCTGCGGCTAGATGCACAACAAACAAGTTAAATATCACCTTGAGACGAGAATCCCTGAAGAAAGCGGCGATAACGAAGCTGTTGCCGAAAATACTGACAAACAGCACCACGACTATCGAGGCCAAAGGGACGTATGGAACACCTTCTTGTCGCACAAACGTCTTGTTTACCAGCGGGAGGTACCCGTCGTTCTGCGACATTTCGTCGATGTTTATCGCCATTATTGTTTCTGCAGCTCACTTAGACCAAACAGAGACTGAAAAATGTAAATTTTAATAAATTAATTATTGCCTGGTTTGATAGAATCTTGCTTTGAACGTGGGCAGACCGTTTCTTGCAGAAGACAGAAGATTGAAAATGGTTGTACATCTGCAGCTTGGCGTGTTTTCTATCTTACATGCTGGAGAGCGGGGCCAAAGTTCCCTGCTGTTCCTAACGGCTCTGGGTTCTTAGCCGTTACAAGATTTGCAATAGTTCCACAATAACGGCTTCATGGTTTTCCGAGATCCGCAGTGGTTCCACGCATAACTGGCTTCATGGTTTTCAGTGGTTCCGAGATCCGCAGTGGTTCCACGCATAACTGGCTTCATGGTTTTCATTGGTTCTGAGATTCGCTGTTGTTCCGCGCAAAACAGCTGTGGAGAACACAGAGTTTAAAGGTCTGACAGTGCACGGGACATAAGATTGTTGACAGAATGATAACATACAGTGCCATGAATTAGAAGAGGAAGAAAAGTCTAGGATGTTCCAAAGACTGTATCCTATGCAGACTGTTGAATGTTGAAATAAGAATCGACATCACAGCACTCAGGATACTACCATAAGCGCTCTGTCCCGATCTTTAGCAGCAAGCACAGAGTTCCAATTCCGATGGCACTAGTAAGTGTCTGATTGTATCCTAGGCAGATTAACACAGACCAATACGGGTGTGGTCTTTCACAGTTCTGGTTCGAGGGAAAACTTTAAAATAAGATAGCGGGCCTTTATTCTCGACTACAAGTAGGATCGCTACAGAGGTGATGGCGGTGACAAAAGCAATGACACAGGGAATGAACGAGCGGATTGGCTTGCTGGCAGAGCCATGGTAGGTACACGAAAAGCAACGGACCGGACCGACATTCTCAATGCTCCCAAGGACACAGGACGAGAAGATGATTCAGGTGACGACGTGTAATTGGCAACACTCAAAAGACTACAAAAGCTTCAGGTCAACACTGTCAAAAGAGGTGTCGCCAAAAATGAACACTATATAGGTAGCCACATGAGACTTGTAAACCAACACAGAACTGGTGTTATCAGTCGCCACACGCTGAGGGATATACTGAAGATGGGATCCGAACGCTTAGGTTCAATGTGCAATGAGGATAACCTGTCGATTAACTAATTAACCAACTAACTAACTAACTAGCTAGCTAACTAACTAACTAATGCAGGCAAATGAAAGATAAACTCTAAAGGACTTACCTTATTCATTTAACATGCTCACTGTCTAAGCTGTCATAGCCAGACAAGTATGCAGGCAAATCGATATTATCTACACATTGTGATGGGGTAAAACTAGTTACCATTTCAAAATGATTAACATAATCAGGTTCCCAGTGGAAGAGCAGTATTTGCATAGACTGGCGGTTCTTCTGTTGTCCGTGCATGTACGAGTGTGGGTGAGCTTGGTTTAAAAAAATGTTAGCGTGGTTTCTTTGGTGTGCAAATATTTAAATGTGTCAGCATCATCATCGTCGTCATCATCATCATCATCATCATCATCATCATCATCATCATCATCATCATCATCATCATCATCATCATTAACGAATAAACGAACGAATCAGGAATCGACATCATTGCACTAAGGACATTAAAGCACGTACTCCGTCTCCTTCTTCAGTAGCCAACGCAGAGTCGATCTGATAATAGAACCAGTTTCAACCTGATTAACATCCCCCTCCCTGGCTGCGTGGGCTCGAAGCATAGTGTCCGCCTCGAGTTCCAGAGGCTTCGGGTTCAATCCTCAGTAAGGGGTGTGATTTTTTTCACGTGAACTTGGACTTCTAGTAATTCCCCCTGGTCTCTGAGTAGTGAGATCCGACTCCCGTGTATATTGTTGCGCACGTTAACAAAAATCCCTTGGCAGTTAGAAATCGAAAAGAGTAGCCTAACGGCGCTGCCCGGGCAAAATTTGGAGTTGAAAATCTGCCCAAAGTATTTCAGGATCCTCGCCGGTGCAAAGGGCCTGTGCACGGTGCTGAGCTTCTTTGGACTCAGACTTGAGCTAGAAGAAGAACGGAGCGCTTTTAGGTTACTACCAGTGTGCTATGATGTTGATTCGTTGTTCAAAACCTCAAACCAAACAGCCCTCCCCCCCCCCCCTATGTTTCGTCCTCGGTGTTGAATATCTTCCATTACATCTACACACTCTTCTCAATCTAAATTAGTCTTTCAATGTATGGATTCCCTGTCTGTTCTACTGCACTATTTATTTCATCCCAGCGAGCCTTCACCACATCCGCTTTATCGTGAAGTAGCTCATTGCACATAGGAACGGCAGCAGCAAATTTATCAGCCTGCTCGTTACCTCACACACCTGAATTTCCTGGACAAACAATCAGCGATAAGCTACTGGTCTGAGTCTTATCAAGTGATGCAAGCCACTCTTCGCACAAGACTCTACTACTACTACCACTACTACTACTACTACTACTACTACTACTACTACTACTACTACTACTACAACTACTACTACTACTACTACTACACTACTACTACTACTACTACTACTACTACTACTACTACCACTACTACTACTACTACTACTACTACTACTACTACTACTACTACTACTACTACTACTACTACTACTACTACTGAAACCACTACTACTACTACTACTACTACTACTACTACTACTACTACTATACTACTACTACTACTACTACTAACTACTACTACTACTACTACTACCTACTACCACTACTACTACTACTACTACTACTACTACTACTACTACTACTACTACTACTACTACTACTACTACTACTACTACTACTACTACTACTACTACTACTACTGACTACTACTACTACTACTACTACTATACTACTACTAAACCAAACTACTACTACTACTACTACTACTACTACTACTACTACTGAATCTACTACTCAACTACTACTACTACTACTACTACTATCCTAACTACTTACTACATAGTAGCTCTACTACTACTACTAGCCTACTGCTACTACTACTACTACTACTATGATACTACTACTACTACTACTACTACTACTACTACTGCTACTACTATTATACTATTGCTGCTGCTACTACTACTACTACTACTACTACTACTACTACTACTACTACTACTACTACTACTACTACTGCTGCTGCTGCTGCTGCTGCTGCTGCTGCTACTGCTACTACTACTACTACTATTACTGCTGCTACTACTGATGCTGCTGCTACTCTACTACTACTTCTGCTACTACTGTTATTACTAATACTACCACCATCACCTCAGAAACCACCACTACTACTACTGCTTCTGCTACTACGTCTACTACTACTGCTTCTTCTTCTTCTTCTTCTTCTTCTTCTTCTTCTTCTTCTTCTTCTTCTTCTTCTTCTTCTTCTTCTTCTTCTTCTTCTTCTTCTTCTTCTTCTTCTTCTTCTTCTTCTTCTTCTTCTTCTTCTTCTTCTTCTTCTTCTGCCTTTCTAACCCCCAACTGAGCATAGGCCCTAACCAACTCACGCCAAGTCGTTCTATCCGTTGTTATCGCATGCAGCTCTCCCCCATGTCCTCTCCCTCTTTTTTAACTCCACTCTCTAGCTCCCTTCTCCGTGTGCTTTTTTAGTCTTCCTTTATTCCGTCTGTGGCTTAGGCGTTGCGAACGAGCTTCAAAATGCAGGGGTGCCGAGTTCGATCCCAGCTGAGAGTATTTGTGCCTTGCGTTAGTTTCGACAGTGGTATTGAAAAGTCCATCGTCCAGAAAGAAATGGCAAACTACTGGACGTAAATTTGCCTAGAAAAATCACCACAGAAAAAGTGCTGGGGTTGGTTCTGCAATGTTCTGTAAAGGATACGCAACTAACTTTATTCCTATGGCCCTATGGCTTCCAATGCAGAGACATTCTAGTTATATTGTTCTCCGGTTTTCGCAAAGTGTGTCCTATCCAACGCAGCGTCTTTTCTTCACCTCTCTTTCCACTGGCAGTTGCTTACTTTTTTCACAAAGCTCTTCATCAGTGCTTATATAATAACATGTTATTCCCTATATTCTGCGCAGGCACCAGTTAATGAATTTTTATTGTTAACTAGTAATTGCCTTAGTTGTTTATGTTTACGTTCCATACAACAGTATTGATTTGATATAGAATTAACAGTTTTAATTTTAGTATTTCTTTTAATTTCTTTTGACCTCAACAAATTCCCTAGTGCTAAGAAAACCTTGCTTGCCTTTTGTATTCGTATTTTGATATCTATATTAGTTCTCCCATCTTTATCTACATTACTGCCTTCAAGTGGAATACCGTTAAGAGATACAACTGCTACTACTGTTATTAATACTTCTGCTGCCAAAACAACAACAACAACAACAACAACAACAACTTCTACTACTACTACTACTACTACTACTACTACTACTACTACTACTACTACTACTACTACTACTACTACTACTACTACTACTACTACTACTACTACTACTACTACTACTACTACTACTACTACTACTACTACTACTACTACTACTACTACTACTGCTGCTGCTGCTGCTGCTGCAACTAATACTAATGCTGCTGCTGCTGCTGCTGCTGCTACTACTACTACTACTATACAAACCTCATCCGAGGCTGTGTTGACAGTGTGAGAGGATGAAACAACAACCGTGCGTAGAAAACACTGGGGTGGTCGGAGAAAAAGTAGGGTGAGGGTTATCCTCCGTAAAATGCTAATAATGGCAAATAATTTTTGAAATGATATGAAGCGTGTAACCAAAAACTTGCTATAGTGACTAACTGCTAACCCGACGGCTCAAATACAGGGTGTTCAAATTCACCAGGATTTTGTGTGTGTGGGTCTTCTCTTTAAAAAAATCACCTTGGCTCCCAGCCTAAAATGGGTATTAGATAAAGTCCTGAGAAAACACAACATTCATCGAGTGCCGATTGGTCTAATGGTATATGTCTAGCACTATATGCCCAATACGCCTGGACTGCATGGAAAGGGGGTCCTTTACTTCACCTCACTAATTAGCCTAAATACTTAGGAAGCGATCTTCTATAGCAGTGGCTCTCAACTTCCTAATGCCACGACTCTTTAATACAGTTAGTTGCGTATCCTTTACAGGACGTTGCAGAACCAACCCTAACAGCCCCTGGCTGTTGTGTGATTTCTCTTGGCAAATTTACGTCCAGTAGTTTGCCATTGCTTTTGGACGGTCGGCTTTCTTGACACCACTGTCGAAACCAACGTAAGGCGCATTGCCCGCAAATGGGATCGAACCCGGCATCCAGGTATTTCGAAGCGAAGCGTTCGCATCGACTTGGCCACAGAGCCGACGACTCTTTAATACAGTTCCTTTATGTCGAGTCGACCTCCAGACAGTTATTTTTCTTCAAACCTTGAATGAAAATGTGTTATCCGATGGTCTTCGGCGATTCCTGTGAAAGGGTCGTTCGACCCAAAAAAAAAAAAAAAGAGTCGCGACCGGCAGGTTGAGAAGCGCTGTTCTATAGGTTCGTGTTGGATCGTAGCTTTCTTACAAATCTCCCAGTGCGTTTGGAAAAGGGTTGTAAAAGAGTTTTAAATCTTTTTAAGAGTGGCTCATGGTACTTGGGCCAGTAAGATTCCGTTGCTGACAAAACTCAAATCCTGGAACAAGACTGAAATCAAGAAGTCGACTAACAGCCAAAACTGTCCGCCCGAGTTTACAGCCGGGGAACACGAAGAAGGGAACATAATAGACGAATAGACTGCAAGTTCTTTGCGACAGATAATGATATAACGGGACAATGAATAAACGACTTCTTTTTTAGATCTGCAGAAAATAGGGGCATAAAAATATATCACTGACTTCAAATTTATTCCGGGGACCCTCTTGGTTTTCGCAGACAACTAAATTATAACTAATGCACTAGGTAATGTTTAAACGAGCCCTGATGCCTCTTCAAAACCTGATGCGGAAAGACAGAACACTACCAGAGAAGAAGAAGAAGAAGAAGAAGAAGAAGAAGAAGAAGAAGAAGAAGAAGAAGAAGAAGAAGAAGAAGAAGAAGAAGAAGAAGAAGAAGAAGAAGAAGAAAATAATACCAGTCTGAACATGATGATGATGATAAAGATGATGAAATTTCTCCAACATTGAAGAGCTCTCATCTTGACGGCCCGGTCTGCGAATGTTTACAATCAAGAAATTAGTAAATTCTTCTACATCAAATGCTGAAAGACCAGTCACAGGAACCGCTAATTCCTGAAAATAAACCAAACATGGTTGTACCAAAACGTAAATTATCAAAAATGCTGAAAATCGGAGGAGTAATTTGTGCTGTAGCCGTTATTTTAATTGTAATATCGGCACTTGCTACAGGAGGTAGAATTTCTACAAAAACAAATAATGTCATTATTAGTAAAAGTGGCTTCAAGTTGTTGGCTTTAAATGGCGTAAGCTACAATAAAAATAGCAATTCTTTTACATTTAGTGATCGTGAATTAAAGAAAGATTATTTAAATATACATTTTTCTTATGAATTCGTGAACGGTGAAGCAAAAAAGGCGTCAAACTGTCACGTTGATTCAAGAGAAAAGGAACCTTTTTCCTCGCCTGGTTGTTCCCAGCGATTGAACATGGAATTTAAAAATAATTTCCGTGCAGATATACATGAGATTGACTTAGATGGGTTGTCCTGCCATTCTGTTCAGTGGCACACGAAAAATAGGAGTGCAGAGATTACTAACTGTTTTCTCATTGAGGATAATTGGTATGGTGGGGGAGGGCTGTCAGTTCAGAGATGGCCGCTCAATCGTGTCAATGTGCCCTTACAGCCACATCTTACACAAAAGTATAAGGTCAGTCGACCAAGTGGTTCTGCTGACCAGGTCAGGTTTGATTCATTTATCGAACCTTATTTTATTAGCGCAGGTGGTGCGGCAGTTTTATTTGATCACTTTCTTCCGTTATTTATTTCTATGAATCATGAAAATGACAAAAAGCTGTGTTTTACGTCTGAATTCAAAAAACCATACGCGTCTGTGAGTTCTGATGACAGCCTCTCACTACAGTACCTTGTATGTAAAGATCAGAAGGCGAAATCCATTCACCAGCGTATGTTAAAAATGTCAAAAATTCCATTCTATCAAGGGGCACCGGAAATTGGAATTTTACGTAAACCAGTATGGAGCACAAGAGGCTTAGAGAAGCCAGATATTAGCGAAACTAGTCTTTTATCTTTCGTTAATAATATCAAGTCAAACAAACTTGCCTACGGGCATTTATTTATCGACGGAAACTATTCGAGATCCAGCGGAAACTTCTATTTTAACGAGAAGATCTTCCCTCATTCACACCAGCTTATTATGGAGTTGATGAACTCGCCAGAAGAAGACAAACTACCAGTTGGCATAGAGGTTTTTCCGTATGTTCTAACAGAGAAATCTGATTTGTTTGCAGTTCATTATGTAAACACCTCTAGTCTGAATCAAAATCAGAATCGGAATAACTTCTTAGATGTGACAAATGAAAATGCTTTGAAATGGTACACCTCTCACCTCAAAGATGTTACCGAGCAGGTCAACCTTAGAGGATTGAGGTTTTCAGGTGCATTTGCTGTGGATTTGGTAGAGGGTCTGGATCAAGCTTCCCTGATCACCAACAAAACACTTCACCATCTGAGTATGTTTACCAAGAAATTTTCTGAAGTAGCACAGAAATTACACAAAACTTCATTGATTGGAAGTGGCTATGGTAGTCAGATCCACACTTTTATAGCCGATGCGGGTCCAATGATGTCTTCATGGGAGCACAACAAAGGTCTTAAGAGTGTTATTCCTACGACATTAACTTATGGAATAATGGGCTACCCTTTCAGCCTAATGGGACCAATTGGGGGTGTAAATATAGACAGTGATACTTCATCAAATCCCCGAAAGCCACCAGAGAAGGAGCTGTTTATAAGATGGCTTCAGCTTGCGACGTATCTGCCAGTCATGGAGCTTTCAGCTGGCCCATGGCTGTATGACCAGGAAGTTGTTAACTACACTCAAAGGTTACTGAGTTTCCGATCTGATGAACTTTGGCCCAACCTGTTGTCTTCGGCAGTAGAAGAAGCTATAAAACTGGGTATGTGCTTTTTTTAAAATTCCTCAGCATTTATTTTATCGAATGTAAATTTAGCTATCCTCACTCTGTCCTCCATGTCCGTCTGTTCTTTTTCTTGAGATTCACCGGCTGTAAATTTTGATGGAAAGTTCTGGTTGTTTGTCCACCTCAAGACTTTAGTCTTGTTCCAGAAACTTAAGTTTTGTTTGCACATTCCTTTTACTGATAACCTGACTTATTTGTTTGCAAACTATTAGTTTCTTGCCTTTTATGCAGATGCAATTTCAGAGGAAGCCCTCAATTAGTGGACTCATAGGACATGCTTGTTGGGGAGGGTGTCTCCTTGTTTCCCCACAATGGAGACTCAGAACTCACACAGGGCTGTGTCTGTTTGATTTGATGCAGATATACACTGTCTTCTCTTTCTCTGTATTTTCTGCTCATTTCTTCTGCATTGATTGTTTTGTATCATATCTGTTAGTATTAACTCTTTTGCCTCATAAAGTAAAGTAAAGGACCTTTTTCCAGGCATATTAGGTATTTGGGCTAGACTTATTTTACATAGACAAAACCCGCACTTAGTGCCTGATGTGGTCAGCATAACTTCGGCCGCCTTTACTTCCCAGGACTGTAGCTAGTACCCACTCAATGCTGGGTTGACCTGAGAGCCAAGGTCATTTTTGAAAAAAGTCTGGCCTACGTCAGGGCCTGAACCATGACCTTCCGAAACCTCAGGCGAATGTCTTACCGCTAGACCATGCGTGCTCCCTTTTGCCTCATGAAAATATTTTTATTTTTTTCTTAAAACAAATGCGTTGTTGTAATTCTGTGAAACTTTACCCTTAAAAACTAAAGGACGAGATAAAGCAGCAGAAAAAACTTTGAGCCTCGCTCAGTTTAAAAAAAAAAAACTTTATGTTAATAAACCTATGACCACAGAACAGACAGACAAGCCTGCTAGTTATTTTATTATTATGGTCACTAAAAAGATTAATGTTTCAAATTTAGAGTCATTATTTTTGACAAAAATGATTGTTTTTTGTGATGGGAAGTAATCACTAAATAAAAACAAAATACAAATGGAGCAAAGAAATAACAACTTTCTTTTCGCTAAACCAAAAAAAAAAAAAAAAAAAAAAGGGTTTTTAGATGACACATAATCTTCTTTTTTTTTAAATTTTGCATAAGATTATTGGTTTCATGCTAGCTCTGTGACTAGTTTATTTCATCGTAGGCCCACGTCTTCTCACAAATTTTCTTTAAAAATTCTTTTTTTAGGTACCCCTATAGCTCGTCCTCTTTGGTGGATTGCTGCAGAGGACAAGATTGCTCAGTTTATTGACTGTGAGTTCTTCCTTGGGGACAGCCTACTGGTGGCTCCAGTTCTGTATGCCAATGCAAGGCATCGGGATGTGTACCTGCCGGAAGGAAGTCTGTGGAGGGATCAACTCCGAGGCAGCGTCTATAAAGGAGGGCAGTGGCTGAGACAGTATCCCGTGGGACTGTATGAAATTGCAACATTTAGGCGAGACATGGATTCCCATAATAAACACTAACAGATAAGATAATCATAGGTTAATACCCTTCAGAGCTTCTTCTTCCCTTCGACCTTGTACCTCATCGAAGTGTCGGGGGAATGCAACACTCAGTGATGAGCTCTCAAAAACCCTATTAAGACTGATGTTCATTTCTGTAGGGCTGTTCTTAATGCCATCACTCAGTATTTTCTAAGGTCTTCACTTGCTTTATACCTGTTGTAACGTTTTAGTGTGGTTTGCTGTGGCAGATAGTACCAGGGCATTCTTGTTAGGTGTCCAAACCACTTCATTTGTTGTTCTTTGATGGTTTTCTATTCTAGTCATTGCTTTTTTGTGGGGGCAAATATAAAATCCTCATCTGCAAAAGTCCATGGATGACTGTACCAGCCATGCAGTTGTAAATCCTCCGGCTCAAAGACCTCCCTGCCTACGTTGCAGAACTGGTATATACAGTTGATATTTGGTAGTTGATGTCCCCAGCTAATTAGTCGACTCTTACGACATGCTTTTGGGGAGGCAGTGGGTCTATTCTTGTTTTCCCCACAATGGGGCCCCGGAACCCACACGGGGGGACAGTTTAAACTATTATTGTTGTTGTTGTCTTCTTCTTCTTTTGTTAATATCTGCATATGCTGCTAGGCGTCGCAGTTCATCAGGCGATGGCCAGCCGAGCCAGAACGTGCTTGATCTCTATATATGTCCTGATGTTATGCCGTCTCAGTGACTCCCTCAATCCATATTCTTCACGGTCTTCCCCAGCCTCTTGTTGTTTCGATTTTCAGGTTGTACGTTCTTGCTGCTGGCATCGTTGGTTTAATTCTCTTTAGATGGCCAAACCATTTCATTCTTTGTTTCTCAATAAATTTGACGATGGGTGTTGTTCCAACAGTTTTTATGATAATGTCGTTTCTTACTCGATCTCTTCTGGTTTAATTCATAGCCATTCTCAAACATTTTGTCTCACAGATGGTTAGTTTTCTGTCATGTCGTGTTCGTGTCCAAGTCTGACAGTGGTAACCTAAAGTCGGTATAAATATTGTACTTATAATTTATCTTGTTGTCTCCATTGGGATAGCAGGGTGTTTTAAAATTGGAGCATGGCATTGTTGGCTTGCTGGATTCTCGCTTCGTACTCTCTGTCTATTTTACCTTTGTGTGTAAAGATGGTTCCCAAGTATTTAAATTCTTGCACTTGTTTTAGACTTTGATCTGTGTGTGGATAGTTTGTTGCTTTCTACTTATTCTCACTACTTTTTTTCTCCAGTATTGACTTCATGTGATGTTTAAAGCAACTGCCGGGTAGTTGTCGCTCTTATCAATCTGAAATCCACACTAGATTAATGGTCATTAAAATTATATGGAAACAACATTGTTGAAGTGTAGCTGATGGAAGAGGGGTATAAAATAAATGATTGAAAGGGGGTATTATAAGTATATACAGTTTTGTCCTTTTTTAGGATAAAATTTTTTTTAATTTGAAGCCCCACCCTGGCTTTTACCAGGGGCCGCAATATAGGCAGGTCATAAATATGGCCAATTTTCTGAACACAGTTTCTGGGACCTCTCCACGGCGATCCTCATCCACATAGTGGCACTTTGTGTCATCGGGTGTTTATTGCTTGTGTGATGGCCTGGTGGGGTAGAAAGTCAGTCAGGGGCATTATACCTCCTAAATATAGCCCTGTTATAACTTCTTTTTGTGAAATAATTTCTATCAAGACATTGTCATCACTTTTTAAAAAAAAATCTCGCAACAGGGTTCTTATCATCTGTCTAAAATTTGAATTCTTCAGTGGGAGTTTATATATATATATATATATATATATATATATATATATATATATATATATATATATATATATATATATATATATATATATATATATATATATATATATATATATATATATATATATATATATATATATATATAAATAAAAATAAAACACACTATTTGTTTTCTGATGGGGGTTTCAAGAGGTGGTGACTTTAAGGAGAATGAAAGCCTCACCACCGAAAATTCTCAGACATCATTGGACGCGCTGTAGACAACCGTCATTGTGGAGACGCCACATAAGTTTATTTTGCAATCCATGTGTGCTTTTCTCACCTATGTCTCCTCACGTTGACTCTTTCGACCAGAGAAACCGCAAACCCAACACTTGTTGTTGTATCCACTTTCCTGCAAATTTCACTTTTTCAGCTTCTCTGTAGTGACCTGTTTACAAGACCCATAGTCAATGTTTTTGGCTTTTTTTCTGCCTGCCCGAACTGGTTAGCTCTACGTTAGTTCCCCTATTAACAACTGTAACACACTAGTTCACTTCTATTTGGTCGACCTTCAGCCTAGCTCACTTCTGATTGGTCGACTTTGGTTACCTTGCCACAAAGTGATGGGGGTTTTCCTCAATACCGTTGAAATCGCATGTTCTATATTTCAGCACGGCAGCGCTTAAAACACTCCAAAAACATGAACACACTTGGTATAGCACAACCCTACTAGAGAGTGCTGAAACCTATGTCACAGGCATTCTCTTTCTCGAAATAAACACCTAAATGCAAGACAACCCAGAAAGCAAACAACAGTGCGGGACACCCGTAACCTCCAAAAAGGTAGATCAGGCCAACAAACCTGTCAGTGAAAACTGACCTACTTTGTTTGAGCAGACTAACGTCGAACTAAATCCCGAACTAAAATAGCAAGTAGGGGAAAGGGTCAAATTTTCCCCTAAGCCTTAGTGATATAGGTCACGAGGTCAAAGCATGAGTCACAAAGTACATGTATGTGTTCTCGAGGCCTTCTGGAATGTATAAAATTTTAAAATATAGATAAATACATTTTGTTTACAAATTTAGTAATGCTCAGTGTAAAAAAAAAGTATTTTAAACAATTATTTTATGGAATTCCAACATGGTCATGACCCATTTTTTTTAGTTTTCCTGGGCTGGAGAAAAGTGGATGGAGGGGGGGGGGGGGATGTTAACATTATATTTGAAGTGATTATTGAGGACTATCATGAAACCACTCCAGATGCTCTACAAAGTTACTCTGATCTCTCAATAGCTCCACAAGCATGTAATGACTGACCACGGCTGCACTCTGTTGATTAATCAAACTTCTTGTGCCCTTGGTGAAATGTTTTGTTGTTGTTGCACCTACGGCTGCAACCACAGTCCATCAGCCTGCACAGAGATTTGAGAGTTATGCCCTACTGAATTTTTAGATTGATCTTACATATCAAGTTAACATATACAAACGTTAATTGTATTAAAAGTAATAGAAAGTCTTGGGATGTAACCCTTTGTAATTAACATTATTTAAACAGTTATCTCCCATGCATTAGGAATCTGGCGGAAGAAAATGAGTCTTGGACATCCCAAGGCTAGTGGCTGTCAACCTTCCTAACGCCGCAACCCTTTAATCAGTTCCCTCATTTTGTGGCGACCACCAAACAATTATTTTCCTTCATAATCAATGAATATGTGTTTTCCGATGGTCTCAGGCGACCTCTGTGAAAGGGTCGTTCAACCCATAAGAAGGGTCGAGACCAGCAGGTTGAGAACCGCTGTCCTAAAGAGTCCTGGAGAAGAACATGGGACATGAAATTTAAAATGATATAGGAGACTTTAGGAAGAAAGGCAACAGTGGAGATCACTTGTGAATGTCTTATGTTTCAGCAGTAACATACAGAGAATATAGATACAGATTAGATAATTACTGCGAGAACAAATATTGAAGTTCTACATTTATAATTTATTGTTTTACTTTTTTCCGTCCTCTACACTGTAGTTTCTGTTTCAAATCACAAGTTTTGTGAAAGTTGTGTTAAATGTTTTACCTTTATTTTTTTATTTTTTTTTTACAGTTTGGTGGTTTCTTTTTCTTGCTATTTAAGTTTAGGATGAATGCTATCAGTGAAAAGTTGCAGAGGAAAATACAGTTGTTGTGTGAAAGAGGCGTGTGTGCTTGGAAATGCTGATTGTAAGATGATCCCGCATGCCCAGTTTGTGAACTTTCAAAAAATAAAATTTCGTTGTTTATTCATTTTTCTTATTGTCGTCTTTAAAAAGGCCAATGTATGAGTTGTTCATCCTTGACAGAAATTCACAAACCAGCTGTAGAACATTTTTGCCAGTTTGTGTAATTGATTCTTTTTTCTTCTCCTGCTCTCCTTTTTCTTCTTCATCATCATCTTCTTCTTCTTCTTCTTCTTCTTCTTCTTCTTCTTCTTCTTCTTCTTCTTCTTCTTCCTCCTTCTCCTCCTTCTTCTGTATCTTCTTCTTTTTCTTCTTCTTCATCTTTCTTCTTTTTCTGCTCCTCTTACTCTTTTTCTTTCTGCTCCTCTTTCTTTTCTTCTTCTTCTTCTTTTTATTCGCATTTCCCAGCTGTAAACTCCGACGACAAGTTATGATTACTCATCCACTTCTGGATTCTAGTCTTGTTGCAGAACCCGAGTGTGGTGTGCACAACCGTTGTATAGATCTAGCTTGTTTGTATGCAGTTTTGTTGGTTCCTTATCTCTCTAGCAGATGTACCCTGACTTTAAAGGAAACATCCCTAATTAGTTGCCTCTTAAGACACGCTTGTCAGGGAGGCAGCAGGACTATTTTAGTTCTTCTCCACAAGGGGGCTCTGGAACTCCCACAGAGATGCTTTCTGCATTATTAACAACTTGAGAACGAGAATCGGACAATGCTACATCATCATCAGTTTCCACTTCTGCCGTTAAATGCTATGGAAAAGAAGTTTGCGATGAATTGCTTGATGGGTTGCAATGGATAATGTCATTCTATGTTGATGAAGAAGGTCTTTTGTGTCATCAATTCAAGTTCTCCTAGGACGACCTCATATTTTCATTTCCGATCTTTTCACGTGTAGTGGCTGCATTCTTACTAGATGACCATTTACTCTTTTGTTTTTCTGTGAATTTGCTGCATGGTGTTGTCCCAAAAGTCTGTCTGGTAATATCATTTCTAACTTTGTCACGGAGGATTAAGTTGATGGCTTTTCTCAGGCA